ACTTGGGTTCTGGCTAGGAAAGAATTCAGAGTCGAGACCCAAACTATAAGAGAATATTTATTTATAAAATCACAGAGGTAGAAAAGTAATTCCTGGAAGAAATGGGCTTAGGGAACAAGTTCTAGAGGCAAAAGAATGGCCCTTGGAGCTTGGGAGTGAGGAAGCCAATGGTAATACGCCTGGGGGGCTTGGCGGGGGTAGGGAGAAAGGGAAAGGCTCAGACATGCTCCCCGAGGGAGAGCCCTCTGTGTCCTCCACCCTAAGGGTTTTAAGGGTGGAGATTCTAGGGCAGGGGTCCTCAAACTACGGCCTGCGGGCCACATGCAAATACAAATATTGTATTTGTTCCCGTTTTGTTTTTTTATTTCAAAATAAGATATGTGCCGTGTGCATAGGAATTTGTTCATAGTTTTTTTTTTAAACTATAGTCTGGCCCTCCAACGGTCTGAGGGACAGTGAACTGGCCCCCTGTTTAAAAAGTTTGAGGACCCCTGTTCTAAGGTATGTTCCAGGGGTAAAATCTCAATAGAATACTCAACAACTTTCCACATGTGTCCTTTCAGGGTTGTGGTCTCCAATGATTGCTTGGTCAGCGCCAGAGCAGGGGGTCATTATCCAATGCAGCTGGTCTTGAGGTCAGGCAGGGGGTCACTGGTCTGGTTTTACTGCTTTTCTGGGCCTGGAGCTACAATACAATGGAGGCCTAAATGTTATCTCTAGGGAGGAAAGGTCAGGGGGTCCATACCTCATCACCAGCGATATGCTAGGGGAGAAAAGTCAACCTGGGGGTGAGGTCCCACCTTACATTTGTCTTTTGCTAGGCACCCAGGGCTTTCCTCCCTGGTGGCCTCTGTACCTGCCCATCGTCCTTGCTCTGCTCATGCCTGTCTAGCCCCCTACCACAGGGAGACCCTGGGATGCCTCCTGCATCGCCTTCTCATCTTTCTTACAGGATTGCCCTTCCTGCCCTGCCTTCCTCAGTAGAGCACTCACAGCCAGTGTGCAAATAGTCATTTCTTTCCTGCGTAGGAACTGGAGGGTGCGTATAACTCCGAACTATTGGGGCAACTCACAAGGGTAGGCTGAGCTCTCAGCGGTTTAATCCATGCTCAGAGCCTAAAGCAGCACCCAGGACTGATGTCGTCACCCCATTTCTAACTGGAGGGTCCCTACTAGCTTTAAAGTTCTGAGCAGACAAATGGGCTCTATGGTGTTGTGTTAAGATGTGCAACGTTGAAGCTGGAATTTGGGTTTGAATCCTGGACCTTCCTTCCACTTACTAGCTGTGTGACTTGGGTGAGTCGGCTAACATGGGCCTCGGTTGCTGCACTTGTGGGACAGGGATAATAATGACGTGAGCTGTATCATAAGGTGGTTGTGAGGGTTCAGTGAGTAAGTGCATACAACTGGGTGTGAATGAATTATGAGACCCTCCCTCCCCTTCAAAGCAGTGTAAGAGGAAATGGTTTCTCTCCACCCCCATTCGGTCTCTGTTGGAGCGAGTCCACTCTAGGTCTCTCTGCCCTTCACTTTGGTTACGAACGATGTCCACGTCACTGCTAGACTCCTTACATTTTCTCTTTCTTGCTCCAGCTCTTCATGTTCTTCTCCAAGGCGATTGCTTTAGCTCCTGGTAGTTTATATTCCCAAGTGCCGATTGCTGCCCTATTTCTCCTCACACCCTGCTTTCCAGCAGTCCCTTTTAGTTCCCCAGAACCTGCCCTCTCCCAGCCAACTTCCCGGGCTCTTTCCCTCCTCTGGCCTTTCCCTAGGCAACATGGTTCCTTCTCAGTACAGGCTGCTTGATAATGAGTCGGTGAGGTTTCTTTCCCTCTGACTAAATTGAAACTTAGAACATTTTAGACCTGTTGTGTAATCTCTGTCATGCTGGGGAAGGGGTGGGGAGGGCTAATAGAGGCCAATTAAGAAGGATATTAGTTCAAAAAATTAGTCACTCATGCTCAGCTGGTGTACCTCAGTTGTTGCGTGTCAGGCCATGAACCAAGAGGTCACGGTTCAATTCCCGGTCCAATTTCCGGTCAGGGCACATGCCCAGGTTGTGGGCTTGATCCCCACTAGGGAGGGGGTATTCGATCCATGTTTCTCTCTCATTGATGTTTCTATTTCTCTATCCCTCTCCCTTCCTCGCTCTAAAATCAATAGAAATATTTTTTAAAAAATTAGCCACTCAGATAAAAAATATTTACTAAAAGTTTTTTTAAAGACATTTCTGAGAGAATTGGGAATAGAAACCCTAAGTGGATTTTTAATATTAAAAGGTTATTGTTGCCCTAGCTCCATGGTCGGCAAACCGTGGCTCGTGAGCCACATGCGGCTCTTTGGCCCCTTGAGTGTGGCTCTTCCACAAAATACCACGTGCAGGCGTGCACGTACAGTGCGATTGAAACTTCGTGACCCATGCGCAGAAGTCGGTATTTTGTGGAAGAGCCGGTATTTTGTGGAAGAGCCACACTCAAGGGGCCAAAGAGCCGCATGTGGCTCGCGAGCCGCGGTTTGCCGAGCCGCAGTTTGCCGACCACTGCCCTAGCTGGTTTGGCTCAGTGGATAGAGCGTTGGCCTGTGGACTGAAGGGTCCTGGGTTTGATTTTGGTCAATGGCACGTGCTCGGGTTTTGGGCTTGATCCCCAGGTGGGGGGGGGGGGCAGGAGGCAGCCGATCTATGATTCTCTCTCATTATTGATGTTTCTATCTCTCCCTCTCCCGTCCTCTCTGAAATAATAAAAATATATTAAAAAAAGATTACTGTTAATTTTTAAGTATGGCTAAGTTAAAAAGGAGTTTTTGTCATATATATGTATGCATGTATTTATTGATAAAACGATCTGGTGTCTTGGACTTGCTTAAAAGTAATCGAGTGAGTGGGGTGGGGATGTAGATTATTGAAGCAAGATTGACACTTTTTGAAATTATGTGACGAGTCCATGGGCCTCCATTATACTATTTATTTTTTAATATGCTGGAAAATGTCTATAATAAAAACTCAAATGTTAAAAAACACACCACTGTTTTAAAGGCAGTTCAGGGACTGCTTCTCATCTCCCTGGCATGGTTGGGGAGGGAGGTGGAGGTGAAATTGGGGAAATTGGTTTTCTCGCACTCCACACCCACTGCCCATTGCGCTTCTCGGACCCTGGTCTGTGGGTGTCAGGAGGCTCTGAGATGCCACCCCCTCCTGCACTGCTGCTGCCCCAGAGTGAGGGGCCTCGGGGTCCAGTTGGGTGCAGGAGGTCTCTGCCTTACCATCCTGTCCAGCCCCAGACTATCCTCTATGCAAAACCTCATCAGTCTCTGTCAAGACTTAGAGTCATCAGGCTCAAAGGCCTTCATAATTAATTATCAGGCAGTGTGATAACAACTACTTGTCAACAAACAGAACTACTTTGAGGGGTGGGGGAGGAGCAGTGGGAAGGGCAGGGATGGTGAGAAAAATACCTTTCCAGCCAGACACCACCCTGATGATTAATCTGAGAGGGAGTGAAGAGGAGAGGTGAAGTGAGTGAAGATGAAATGCACAGGGCCTGCCTGGGTCCCTTCCCTTGTTGGTGCTGCCCTGGAATTGGACAGGGTTCTTCCTCTTCCGTAACCATGGCACCCACCACATCTCCCTTTCCCATAGCACCCCAGAGTGGACATTTGTAGGTAGAGCACATCAGACTTTGGGTACTTGCATTTCAGGGCTTGCCTGTCTGTATCTGAAGTTCATCTGCCTTTCTTTTACCTGTTCTCATTCTCTCCCCTGAAGAGGTGGAACCTAGCCCGTGCTTTGCTCTGTGCTCTGCATGTGGGAGGAGTGTAATTCCCGTGGGGTAGAGTGCAGCGACAGACCCATGGTAAGAGAAGGCCAAGGGATGCCTGGGGCAGTAGTGGCAAATTATGTCTGTCTGTCTCTTCTACTATGGCAGAGAACATGCCTGTTTCCTCCATTGAGTATCTAGACTAGTGATTGGCACAGAGTGGCATTCAATAAATATTGGTTGAGCCCTGCCGGCATGGCTCAATGGTTGAGCATCGACCTATGAACCAGGAGGTCACGGTTTGATTCCCGGTCAGGGCACATGCCCATGTTGTGGGCTCTATCTTAAGTGTGGGGAGTGCAGGAGGCAGCCGATCAATGATTCTCTCCCATCATTGATGTTTTTCTCTTGCTCCCTCTCCCTTCCTCTCTCTTTAAAATCAATAAAAATATATTTAAAAATATTGGTTGAATGAATGATTATATAATCCAAAGTTAAACTTGGAAGGCCAGTTTCACAAGAAGTTAGGAAGATAGATTTAAACTATAAATTATTTGTTATTTATATTTAACTTATGCTGACATACCACAAACATATTTTAATATATACACAATATTCATTCATATATGAATGTATGTGTTATACTGCATACAGTATATAATTAAGAGTTCATTATGACAGGGAAGACTCCTTCATTATTTTTTGGAATTAGTAGAGCCATCCTTACAAATGCTAAGGAGGGAAAAACACCTACTATGTGATAGCAGAGTTTAAGAAGAGAATCCAGTGGCTTCTGAAATCTACAATTTAGATAACTCCTTTTATCCATGAGAGAATGGGATGCTCACAAATTATGTCTGAGACAGGTATTCCCATGTTCACTGATTCTTAAGAAAACACTAGACAAAAATATCAGGAATACTGGAAGTTATTTGTGACATATTTTTTTTTTAACTGAGATGCTGAAACCCCTCAACAGAGCACTGGGTCCTCTAGCTTCAGGGTAAATATTAATATTATAGTTCAATTGTGGGGAAGGACATATGGGATTTGTTCTTTCCCTTCATCAGCCTTTAGGATTTGCCATGAGGACATAGAGAAAAGGTAGTAGCTTTATCTAATATAGTTAGGTCATGGGCAAAACCTTGGCTGAACATACAAAATTTTTTTCTGAATCTCTCTTGGTCCTCTGTGCCTGAGTTTGTTAGGACACTCACCCTCTGCCTCTAATTTGCTTTTACACAGGATCAAAATGACCACTGCTCCTAGTGGTTGCCGCAGTAACCTGGATGCCAAGTACCACAGACTTTGTGATATGTCTGAAGCTTGGGGCATCGTCCTGGAAACTGTGGCTGCCGTGGGGGCTGTGACCTCAGTGGCCTTCATGCTCGCTCTCCTGGCCCTCATCTGCAAGGTGCAGGACTCCAACAGGCGGAAGGTGCTCCCGGTCCAGTTCCTCTTCCTTGTGGGTGTGCTGGGGGTCTTCGGCCTGACCTTTGCCTTCATCATCAAACTGGACAACCTCACGGGGCCCACACGCTTCTTCCTCTTCGGCGTCCTCTTCTCCCTCTGCTTCTCCTGCCTCCTGGCTCATGCTTTCAACTTGACGAAGCTGGTCCGCGGCTGGAAGCCCCTCTCCCTGCTGGTGATGCTGGGCCTGGCTGTGGGCGTCAGCCTGGTGCAGGACATCATCGCTATTGAGTATATTGTCCTCACCATGAACAGGACCAATACTGCCATCTTCGCTGAGCTTCCTCCTTCTCGGCGCAATGAAGACTTTGTCATGCTGCTCATCTTCGTCCTCTTCTTGATGGCACTGACCTTCCTCACATCCTGCTTCACCTTCTGTGGCCCCTTCACGGGCTGGAAGAGACACGGAGCCCACATCTATCTCACCACGCTCCTCTCCATGGCCATCTGGGTGGCATGGATCGCCTTGCTCTTGATCACCCCTATCCCTGCCACCGGGTGGGATGATACCATCCTCAGCGCAGCCTTGGTGGCCAATGGCTGGATTTTCCTGTTGGCTTATGTTGTACCTGAGTTTCAGCGGCTCACAAAGCAACAGAACCCCATGGACTACCCTGTTGAGGATGCTTTTTGTAAACCTCAATTCATGAAGCAGAGCTATGGCGTGGAGAACAGAGCCTACACTCAAGAGGAAATCACTCAAGGTACAGAGCCGGGCTGGGTGGAGAGTCCTTTGTAGAGAGATGGGGGAGAATCCCAGGGTATTCTATCTGTATGGAACATGCAGGTTTATCCAGCTCGTGCCCCTGACAGAACAGATAAGGTCCCCAAGGCTCAGCTCATGCTTGAAACCATCCAGCTAGTTAACAAGTGGATTAGAAGCTGCCTCTGCAGCTGTAGTCCAGCACTTTCCACACAGTCCATGTAGGTTTCTCTGAATAAAAATAGGATGAAGCAAAGGAATAGAAAAGGAATGACTTGACACATTCTTAGAGATAAGCAGGTGAGATTGTGTTCTTTATAAAAGATAACTCAGCACCCCTTCTGGAAATGTGAGACCTTCATATATTTGGGTGTGTAAAGCCAAGCCATGATTTCTTGCAGTGACCACAGAGCACAGAGAGGTTAGAAAGCCCTTTTATCAGAAACCAGCGGAAATCTCCATAAAGTTACTAAGGATTCCAATTTAACCTGAAGAGCTACATTTTATTGTATGTGTCTGGGCCCACGGGAGGGAAGAAATCCTATCTTGACATGAAAGAATGAACCGATTTTGCTCATGCCTGGTGTTGTGAGTAGCCAGGTGTTCTGTTGTTGTTCTTGTAACATAAAGAGGCTCAACTGATATCCAGACACTGCCCTTGCCCGTCAGGATCTGTGTGTTGCTCTCCAGGGTTTACATCGATCTCTGGACCTAATCAGGGGAGAGGAATGAGTTTGGGAGAGGAGTGAGGGGCCTCCAAGGCCCAGTTCTTAGCTGCTGCTTACAATTTCTCTGCTCCTGAAGCCTGAGATGCGAAGCTTTCTGGAGCTTCTCCCTGCAGCGGGGGGCCCTCTCCTGGGTACTCAGAAGCCTCCCAGAGAGAAAATTAAATGGATAGGGTGTCTATCCTGCTTTGGTAGATGACTCAACTGGGGTGAGCACGAGTGGGTGCCCGAGGAAGGGTACCCTAATGCTTTAATTTCTCCTCTCCCTCTGTTTCAGGTCTTGAAGAGCTAGGTGATACTACCTATGCCCCTTATACCACCCATTTCCAGCTGCAGGTAAGTGATCTCTTCCTTTTCATCAGCAGCCTCAGCACCCCAGGAACGTGTCCCTTGGGAATAGATGGTGTTACCATACAGATGGCTCCTAAATGGCCACCTTAAAAGGATGACATGTCTACGTTGCTCTCATCCACCTTCTGGGGTTAGGGCAGACGACTGGAGTGTAGGGCACAGGGAGGACTTTGGGGGAGGGGTTAGGAGAAAGGGAAGAAAGTGAGATTCCTGCCCACATTGAAGGTCTGTTGAAATATCCGGGAAATGGGAGAGGGTTTAACAATATGGTGCTTGCTTTTCAGAATCGGACCTCCCAAAAGGATTTCTCCATTCCACGGGCCCAGACTCGGGTTAGCCCTTACAATGACTATGAAGGAAGGAAAAACGGCAGTTAGCTGAAGAGCGGGATGACCACGACAAGTCAGCAGAACTAATGGGATGTGGGTCAAATCCCGAGTCTTCTAAGGAAACCATACATAACGTTATGGGAAGACCCGGCCTCCCTGCCAACCTCAACAACTGTTCTGTTCTGGAGTTGCTGGGGGCTAGGACACTCCAGTTCTAAGCAGCACCGTAGTTTTTCCTTTGTTCCATACTTAGGATGCTTCTTATAGGTGGGAGTCTCAGCAACTCAGGGTTTCTCTCTTACTGTTCTCTGTCACTGTACATGTGACTCAAGCTCCAGCTCACTCAACTTCAGAAGCCAGCACTGAATGCTGGTTTTGTAAGGATTGCTCAGCCCAGAGCAGAACTGCAAATCTGAGCAATAATAGCAAAGAGCTGTCTCCCAGCCCCTCCCTACCTAAATCTACACTGGAAGCCAACTTGCTGGCACCCTCCCTTCTTGCCTGGGTAGGAGAGGCCAAAGGTCACCCTAAATTTACTCATCTCTATGGTGCTAACACAGGGCCTCTGTAGGTCCCCAGCACCAATTCACAGCCCCTCCCCCCCTTGGGTCACTCCCAAACTTGCTGTCAACCCCCCAACTATCCTCCCCTCCATGTTTTACCAGGAGTTTCCCTTTTGGAACTCACTAGTGTGGACAAGCCTGACCTCTCTTTGCCAGGAGCATTTGTGCACTGTTCTTTCTGTATATTCCTGGCACTGATCCGAATCCCAGCCTCTGTAACTAGATTTGCACTGTGTTCACCTCCTGCGTTCTGTAAGCAGGCATTGTCTGTGGAGGGGAGTGTGCCTTGTATTATAAGTTATTCACCGTTCTTTACCTGGAGATGCAATAAAGATGTGGTGGCAGTTCTTCCCCTGTGGCCGCAGCAGTAGGAGTGGTGGACATTAGTCATGTTGCAGCTGAAGTTCAAGGTTCGGTTCCACTGGGTGTGGGCTTGACCCTTCTCCGTGTGTTTCTCCTTCTCTTCTCTGTATGTGTCTAAGACAAGCGTGTTTTCCCCAACTTTTGAGGTGAGTGGCGAGGGTGAGGGGGGAAGCCAAGAGGGATCACGGACCCTGAGGTGTTGCTCCAGGAAGGCAGAGGAGTGGCGACTGTGGAATGGGGCTTGGCAGCCCAGGTAAGGCAGGAAGGAGACCTGAAAGCCAGTTTGACGATTCACCTGGGTTTAATTGTAGGAGGAAATAAATCCATATCCCTTATTTGACAGAATTGGTTCATAATCTCTCTCAGAAAAGTCATGGTACCTAACAATTATTATTTACTTAATCCCCGAAATAGCTCTGTGGGGCAGGGCAATAGGAAATTGCTCTTTGGTGAAGGAGAAAATAAGATCCCATACACAGAAACAGCATGGCATTTAAACACGTGCAGCTGAGTTAAGGAGTTACCTCCCGAGAGCCCGATGCTCTGCTTTTCATCAAAAAGAAAGCCTAGCGTGGAAAGGGGTGAGGTGAGGCTGGTGAATGGACGACACGCTGAATTAGAGCTATTTACATTCCACAGAGACTTGGTTAATGGTTTCTCAATGGCTTTGCACCAACATTAGCCAAGTTTTGTATTGAAAAGGGGAGTTACAAATAATGATTTATATCCTTCTTGTTCTAGTCTTTCCCAAGAGGGCATAATCCAGTGAGGGAAAAGCAATATAGTTTCACATTTATCGTTGTGCCACAGTGTAGGTACCCAGGAAACACCCATTTCCTTCCCTCTTGTCTTCCCTTCGGTCTCTGGCCTATCAGCCAAGCGCAGGGGGCTGAGTAAAAGGTAGAGCCACAGAACACCTGGATCTGCTTTCGTGTTAGAAAAGAGTCTCCAGGCCTTTGTATCCACAGGACTCAAGTCAACCTCTTCCAAAACAGAAAAGGACATGAGGACATGGAGGGGGACTCATTGCTGGAAAATTTTTTTTTTTATACCCCTATCGAGGGATATGTTGTTATTGATTTGAGAGAGAGAGAGAGAGAGAGAGAGAGAAGAGAGAAGAGAGAAGAAACATTGATTGGTTGCCTCCCATATGTGTCCCGATCGGATGGAACCTGCAACCTAGGCATGTGCCCTGACTGGGAATCAAACCTGCAACCTTTTGGTGTACTGGATGATGCTCCAACCAACCAAGCCACCCAGCCAGGGCAGATATTGGTTTCTTTTCTAAGAAATAAAGTGGTCTCCGGCGTTTGGACTAGTGGGCCATCATTTCGCTGATTTCTTGTTCTTAAAAGGCAGTAGAGGAAGGCTCCTCCCCATCCAACCACACTTGTAACCGCCCCCACCCCCGCCCCCCGCAGCTGATAATCTGTCTTCAGGTCTATGCCTCCTGCACATAATTAAACTCTGTTGTTAAACGAGGAACATCTTGGGGGCTGGAGGTTTTGGCCTCTGACAATCACTGTGATGATCCTGGAGAAGAGGGTTTCCCAGCCGGTCTCCACCTGGGCGGAAATAGAAGGTGCAAATTTAGCCCAGCCAGGTCCGTGATCGAAGCCAGTTTGATTGATGGCTGGGAACCAAAATGACACCTCCTTTGAACTAAATGGATGATAATAAAATGAGGTTCACAACCTTCCTCTCATCTTTCATTGTCAGATGAGAAATAGACTGTATGTCACTTCTGCCTCTCGCTTTAGGCCGAGAACGTCCACTGCTGCCACACCGCATAGCTCCACTTGGTGGCAGTGGAACCTCAGGCATCAGCCCTCAAGGACACCGAGCCCCTCAAAAAACAAACATCTAAAGCTGCTTTCCGGTGAAGGGCGTGAGGCAGAACAGCAGATATTCAGTGGGCTTGAGGCAAACGTGTCCAATTCTGAAAGGCTGGTGTGTATGAGCTGTTTGTGTCCTTCCTCCCACCGTCTTTAGAGAATTTGCTCCGATCTCCTCTGCCAGAGTTTAATTGCCCTGTGCCTGATTTTTGTGAAATTCTCCAAAGTATTTCCAGCCCATTTGCAGGCAATCTGGCATCTTTACAGACAATGGTCTCATATGCTGTGGTTACTAATGCCGACCAGTATGTTTGTGGTGAGAACATTGGCTTTTTGTCAGGAAAAGTGTGCCAAATCCAAAGGTACAGCCTGGCCCTGGAAATGCAACAATAACACCCATTCTTTCCCCCTCCCGGTGCATTCTGGGTTTCCTTCCCTCATTTCCAGACTTGTCCTTACTGCTGAGAACTGAGCTGCACACAGCTGGTCGTTTCCTTCCTTGCCCATGTCCTTCGGTTACTACCAGGGTGTGAAGGGTTGCCCCTGTCCCAGCCATAATCTGAACAGGGATTATTTCAGAATTGGAAGGGGCAGCTTCAGAAAAACCTTTCTTCAGTGTTGACTGTGGAGATCTGGGATCTGGCAAGACAGCCTTCATCTTGTGGACCGCTGCTTTGGGGAATTCTCTGGTCCAACCGGTGGGCTTCCGTGGAACTCCTCCACCCGGGGCAGACAGTGCTCTGCCCTCCCTGGCTTCAAGATGCTTCAGGTGTGCAGATGGGTGTGGGGAGCAGTACATTGGTGTCTGACGCTGATTTCTGCAACCCCTGGATTATTACAGTTTTCTTGGCCCTTCAGAGTGGACACTCCAGTGCCTAAAATGTTAGCGTGTGAGAAGGTCACAGATTTTCTTTAGTTGGTGCCTCACAGCCCTCACTTTTCAGAGGAGGCAACTCAGGACTGATGGATATAATACAATTGGGACCAGATTTCTGGTTCTGTGCTCTGAATACTGTTGACACTTGGGAGGTCAGGGTTAGATACATTTTTTCCAAAAGGGGGTTTGAGCAAAGACTCAGACAAAGTGACCATGGTCACCCATATCTTAAATCCCTCTCCTTTTCCTTTGTCTTCCCAATTGCTTTTTGTTCCCCTGTTTCTCTTCCAATGATCTCCTCTCCCCTCTGCATGTAAGCTGTGGGGAGAGGGACTGGAGGGTGATTGACATTTTCTGGTTAAACCACAGGTCACTGTCCTGCAACCCCCAAGCCAAATGAGCATATGCCTCTTGAGGGAGTAGGCTGTCAAAAGGTGGGTTTCAAGGCAAAAAAGAATTCTTCATTTCCCCCAGCCAGCATGATGATCCTTTCACTTCTTTGAGTCCCACATAGAGTCAAAAACCCATACCCAGCACCTCTTCCTTTTCTTTGTGTGGCGCTACAGGGCCCCCTCAAGGGCAATCTCTCACTCTCTGTGTGGTTTCTGATGGCAGATTTCAGAGGCAGTCCCGGGAAAAACTTTGCAAGTAACTGTTGTGTATAATGACCTGAGCTGTGTATCTCAAGCACCGGATTCAACCATGATCTTCAACAGAAAAGAAGAGGAAACTTCAATGAAATTTGGTTACCACATGGGCAATACCCAACTGTCTGGTCCCAGCTACTTCTAGTTCAGGCCCCCTTCCATATTAAGATCCATCAACTAAACACACACACACACACACACACACACACACACACACACACACACCACCCCTCTGATAAGCCCATGCTACACATGACACAACATTAGGAAAGATTGAATGATAATGTATTGGAATAGATTAGAATAAAGGTCCGAAATTTAGTTTAATAGTTATAAATGTATTCATGCCCCTCCTCCCCCAAATAAACCACGTAAGTACTTGGTTTGACAGTCATGAGGAGAAGCAGCCTCCAGAGGTACAGACCCTGCTGTGCACAGAATGGGCTGTAAGACTGATAAGGACCCGTGATGTGGCTCAGCAGGCAAAGAGCCAAGGCAATCACAGGCAGTACAGACACAGTCGTGTAGTGTAGGTCAAGGCTGGCGCTGTTCCCACTGAACTGGAGGCATGTTACATACACGACATCAGAATACTAAATCCATTTCTGTGGATCTCCTGGTACTGAAGGAGCTTCTAACAGAGGAGCTTTTAAAAAGAACTACATGATATACAGAACGACTGATGGAAATGGAGATATTTCATCTGGAGAGGAGAGGACTTTGCAGGGTGTGTTATCATGATCAGAGCTAACATTTAATGTGTGCTTACTCTGTGCCAGGCTCCATTTTAAGGGCTTTAATTGTATAATATTATTTAATACTTATAAAACCTTATATGTTATTATGATTATCATCCCCTTTGCTCACACCTGCAGGAATGGAAGCTCCAAGGTGACACAGCTACCAAGTGATAGGGCTGCCTTTAGATCCCTTATGCACAACCCCATGCTGCCTCCCAGCCGTCTTGAATAATGACAGCATAACAGGTGGCTCAGTGTTAGGAGTTTTAGGGAGGCAGATCCCAGAAGAACTTCCTGCAAAGTGGTGGATTACCTGCTGCTGGAGGTGTTCAATCTCAAGGATGCTCTGTTGAGGATGACGTGGGGAATTCTGTGTTAGGAGAGAGGCTGGGCTTCATAAGCTTAAGGACTCTTGGAATTCTCAGAGTTCTGGACTTTACCTGCCAAACTGTCATGCCTGGTATTTGACTCTTAAGAACCATGGAGAGATTACCAGTTTTATTGTACAATATTCTTCCCCGACACCTGCAACCCAAACACTTCCTTAGCCCTCAGGTGAAATGAAAATGCATTCCATTGTTTGAATGTGCCCTCACCTTTTGTGTTATTTGTTACTGGATGTTATAATCCATTTTCTGGCTGGCAGTTTTATTAAAAAAAATTTTTTAATTGGTGACATTGGTTAATAAAATTATATAGGTTTCAGATATATAATTCTATAATACACCATCTGTATATTGTATTGTGGTGATTGCATTTTACAGAACAGTTCTTCATAGTCTTGCTTTAGGGAAGATGCTATATGAATAGAGTATAGTCATCCCTTGGTAACTACCAGGTGTGGGTTCCAGGACCACATCCCCCACACTGTTGACACCAAACTCTGTGTTTGCTCAAGTCCTTTATATAAAACTAGAGGCCTGGTGCACAGATTCGTGCACTGGTGGGGCCCCTCTCACAATCTGGGATGCCTCGGGGGATGTCGGAGAGCCAGTTTCAGCCTCATCCCCGCAGACCAGGCCGAGGGAACCCACCAGTGCATGAATCCATGTACCAGGCTTCTAGTATGCATATAAGATCTTTAGTTAATCTCTTCCCGCCCTCCCCCCCTTCCTCTAATCTTCCCTCTAAGATTCATCAGTCTGTTCCATGTTTCCATGCCTGTGCTTTGAGCATCTGCCCCCTGGTGGTCATTGTGCATCATAGCTACGGGCCAGTCGGCTGGTCACTTAGGCTTTTATATATATAGACGGTGTAGTATTTGCATATAACCTACACATATCCTTCTGTATACTTTAAATAATCTCTTGATTACTTATAATACCTAATGCAATATAAATGCTATATAAATAGATGTTATAGTGCTTAGGAAATAAAGACAAGGAAGAAAAGTCTGTACATGTTCAGTACAGAAGCAACCATTGCAGGCCTAACTACATAATACATGTCAGCAACAGGTAACATTTCCCCCCCCCAAATATTTTTAATTAATTAATTTTTCTACAAAAAGTGTTATTGTTTCCATTTGGTCCACTGCATGGGAGAGGGCTCCAGGGTGGTTAAAAGGATGCCTAGTGGTTTCAGGGAGAGGCTCAGGCAAAAGCCGGACACCAGAGGGAGGCAGAGAGGCTCCTCAAAGGCCTCTGGGCTCCAAGGGCTCCTGGTCCTGCTTGAGGGAAGCCCTTGGAAGAGATCCTCACCCAGCCAGCCTGGGGGTCAGCTAGCCTATAGAGGTGAATCAGGTGTAGCTCCTCTTCTTGATGAGTTTCACCTCCTCATCCAGGAAGTGGTTCTGCAGGAAAGTCACAGAGATGAGGGTCTGTGCTGGTAGAACCCAGAGCCTGCAGCTCCACAGGGACCTGGTTCAGGCTCTTCTCCATGACCATGGTGGCTTCCTGGGTGTCCTGAGTTTCACCTCTCACCTTGGGAAGGCTTCAGCACGTCCTGGAAGAGAATGTGGCTGCCGTTGCATCTTTAAGAGACGCTCAGTGCCCTCGTGCTTCTTCTCTACCACTCTGGGAAGAAGTGACGCACACATTCCAGAGCCACATCATCGCAGTCACAATAGAAGCCCGGAGAGAGGTAGGGGTCAGAGGCCCGCAGATGCAGGCTGACAAGGTGGTTGGCGGTGTGGAATAATTCTGATGAATTTGGGAGCTCACGGTTATTTGGCAATAAGGAGTTAAGGTGAAAGAAAACAAAACGAAATGGTGTTG